TTTCCTTAAATAATTTTCCAAAGGAGAAAAATTCTCTCCATTAGTTATCCGTTAACCCCAGCATGTTCTTTAGTATAATTTGTCTTTAAACTCTTTTTTTAGGAGTATTGGGCACTATAAAATTTTGTTAAAATAAAATTTAATAAATATTATTAAAATATTTAATATTTATTAAGAACATGATCTTTTAAGAAAATTAATATTGATCAAGTTTCTTAAATTGTTTAGGTCATTCTTTAAAATTTTTTAGTTAACTAACGATCAAATTAATGTATATTTGAACCGAAGTGTCACTTATTCTTAGTTGATATTGTCATATAATGCAATATTTTTTAATTTTAAAATTGAAAAAATAAGTTATAAATTCAACAAGACAATATTAATTTGATCCATATATTTGGAGTTTCATTCCCTCCTTTTTCATACAAAGTTGCAAAATATCACAATATTAAATTTAGATGGTGTAATATTTTAGAGAGTGATCGTTAGTTGATCAAGAAAATTATAGGAAATGGCCTAAAATATTTAAAAGAATTAATTATTATTAATTTTTTATAAGGTCATTTTTTGTAATTTATTTAAAAAATATTATTGTTATTTTTATTATGGTTAAAGTACATTTTTTCCATTGTACTTTCTTTTAAGGTGCGTTGGATGCCTTATGCTAATAAGTGCGGCATTTTCCCCCTTAAACCATTTTTTAGAGGAGAAAAAAATCCCCCTTTGTTAACAAATCATTAATAGATCACTAATGGAAGAGAATTTTTGCTCATCTAAAAAATAGTTTAAGGGTTTTAAAGTAGTTGAGTAAAGGGTTGTAAATTCATTAATGCAAGTATTAATAATTATGGATATGATTAATTATAAATTAATCACCTATCCATACCATTCAAACTTGAGAAGAGCTTTGAAAATAATTGTATTGAGGGGTAAATTTTTTACATTTTAAAGATTCAAGGTAATTGGAAGAAATCTTACTTGTACTTTTATGTGTTAGTTAGTTATGTTGCTCTCTGAACTTTTTTTTTTAAAAATATGTGAATTGTTTTAGTACAAATGTGGTATAATATATTTGAAAATCATATATTGAGCATGATTTATGAGTTTATTGAAAGCTATTTGTTTGAGTGAACATGCATAAATGGAGTAATTAATGGGATATAAATGCATTATAATAGAGCTTGTGCATTGTTTCATACGATTAATGGGTAACAAGATATAATTGAAAATTTGGTAAGTTATGTAGAGACACGTGTCAAATTGTGATGAGAAAACATGAGATTGTGAAAAGTGATGATTGTGGTGTGATGAAAATGATAATGATAAATTGCATACTAATCATGATGCTTGAGAATATGTATGCTATGAGTTAAACATTTGTACATTGTATGATCATCTGAGGTAAGAGTTCGCCTAGAAAAAGGAGTAAAGTAATTAAATCCATGTGGTTTGGTCCTATAAAATTATTTTAATATAATTATAATTATTTTTAATATAATTGTAGTTATAATGTAAAGCTTGAGTTTTGAGTTGAATGCAGCATTTTCTCACTTTCTTTTCTAACATTGTAGGTAATGTTTTCAATTTTATGTCTCTCAATTTAAATTTATATATTGCATTATTATACTTACTAATTACTTTATATATGTGTATATAATTTATTTTTGACAAATGTATTAAGTATAATTGATGCTGGAGGAGATGATTGAATGAAGATTGATTGAAGTTTGTTGTTAACTTGTTGTAATGTAATTTAGACGTGTTATGGAAGTTTGTTGAATGTTGTTATGAATTTGAATGCTTTGGATTGTAAGTGAAATGTTTTTATGTTCTTGTTGGAGATTATTATAGATTTATTATGGTTAGCTTTAAATGTTTTGTGATAAATTTTAATGATTATAAGTATTTTTGTTTTCTTAATTGAATTTATTAAGTTGAAAAGAATTGTTGCCTCTCATAAAGGAAAGAGGGGGAAAAGATGTAACAAACTATCAAGACCAACCTCCCAGCCCTATAGGTCAAGGCTAGGTCATATTCAACTTCAAGTTAATCTTAAATTAGACTAGACTACAAGTTGTAACCCAATTCTTTGATGAAAGAGACCAAATGTCGAGTTAAACCAAAATCCTATCATATCCATCCTTCGTGTAGCCATAACCTTTATTTAGTTACATATGCATGTTAAGTTATTAATATGCTTTACACATTAGATTATTTGAGAGTCAATTTGTGTTTTAAAACTTAAAAGACCCCATGATGATTTAAAAAATATATATATAAGAGATTAAATTAATAAAAATTAAATTTGAAGGATTAAATTGATAACTAAGGGAAAATTGAGGAACTAAAAATTTTATTATCCCAAAAAATTAATTCTCTAAACAAGAGATGTTTTATTGTGAAATGCACTTGGGAATTTATTGTAATAACTAAAGGCTAAAAAAAGTATAAATTTTCAATTTTCTTACTCAAACTAGCATCAACCTTACTCTCTTTATTAAAAAATATAAAATATTTTTAATTGAATCTCACCCTCCAGTAAAGTGATTATCTACTTTCAAACTAACCTTATCTTTTTATATTTATTCCTATTAAATACTTTATAATAAATATAAAGTCATTATCAATAGGGAAATTTTTTTTAAAAAAGCAATGATTACACCTTGAAAAATTAAAAATAAAAATACCTTATAGTTTTTAACATTCAACTCCTCAAAAAATACCTTATATTTTTAAACAGAGGGTGTATATGATAAGAAAGTCGTACATTCTTAAGTAAATGAAAACTTTATAATGGCTCAATAATATGTAATATTTTATCAATCAAGAGAGAAATTATTTCTCATTCACTTTATCTATTTTTTTGTTTAATTTTTTTTTTCATAACTTCAGGTCGGACATGCATTATTTAGTATTAATAGAAAACATGATTGCTCAAGAGATACCTGGTTGCACTCTCAGGTTTTATAGGATACTGGTTGGTTGAATATTACAAAAAAAAAAAAAGAAGATATAATTAATGCATGGAATAAAAAGTTTTCATGTCATGGGATTGTGTCACTTGAGTGGCATGCAGTGTTGATATGCTAAGATTTTATAAGTAAAGAAAATATCTAGCAAGGGAAAAAGTGAAGAAAAAGAATAAACGAACCAAACAATTTACAAAGTAGTATATAAATAACTAGAGATATTTTCAATAAATTAAAATCAATACTTAATAAACATGATTAAACAGTGCTAGATATTATTATTATATATATATATATATATAGATTCAGATAGGAGAACATAGGAATAAGAATAAGGAGTTAGTGACAAAAACAAGCAAAGAAAAAGCATGATTCCTTGTTTATCAATTAAAAAAAAAAAAAACATGATTCCTTTCCAACTTCATTGTAGTGATCCATCTTTGTCTTCTGCCCAAAGAAAAAAAAAAAATCTATGTCTGTCGGCACAAGGGTATATATGATTATGAATCCCGTCGTGCTGGAGATTTCACACATAACAAAAGCTGGATTGTGGTGTATTTTCCGATACATGGCCTGTGGAATTGCTTGTCACTAGTTTTATAATATACTTTAATTTAATTTAATTTAATTTAACCTTGATAACAAAATATGATTGATATTCATATTCATATTGATTTTGATTAACTAAGTTATTATGAGTATGTATCTCAAGTATTTAAATCTTAAATGCTAAAATATATTATTTATTTATCAAAATTATTTAAGGATGTAGGAATAAAGTGAGGTTCCAATATTATCCAGATTTATCCGGATATTAATTGATATAATTTAAAAAAAAATGGGGGAGAGTTTAGGAAAAATTACTCTCGGATCAATTTTGTGAATCTAAATACAAAAAATCAATTTTATGAAATTACAAAATTATATTAAAATTTTATTTTAATTATTAATATTGTCAATTACAAAATTACCATTGTTAATTATTGCTTGTTAGTTGTGAACAAAATAACTCCATTTATAACGATAGTTTTTTTTTTTTTACCATCCATTTATAACTATAGTTATTAACAATTATCCCGCATTGTATGATAACTTTAATATAGCAAATTAACAGCTTAGAAAATAATATGAGATTTTATAATATTTTTATTACTTTATGAAACCGTTTTTATTTAAATTTAAAATAAATTTATATATGTAAAAATTTTTTCAACTAAATTAAGAATATATATATATATATCTTTTAGAGATTATTTATTATAGGGTAAATTAATTATTTGAGCTGTATAATTTTGACTCAATTATAACAAGCTTTGATTTATTGTAATTAGGTCTTTAGAATTTTGGTTCGATTTTAACTCAATCTTAAACTTTGACTCTTGCAATTTAATCTTTATAATTTTTTTAGTTAAAAAATTATTATAATTTTAACTATTTAAAATATTAGCCTTTATATTGTAAAAAAGATAAAATTATGTTAAAATTTAGGCTAACTTTAAAATTTACTAAATCTTTTTAATTCTTATAAAAAAATTATAAAGATTAAAATTTTAAACTAGTTTTAATTTTTATAATTTTATTTTTAAAATATAAAAATTAATATTTTAATTAATTAAAATTATAGAGACTGAGTTGTAAGAATTAAAATTCAAAATTAAGTTATAAATAAGGATCAAGTAACAATTAATTAAAAAGAAATTAATTATAATTGGATTAAAATTATAAAGATCAAGATTGATTTTCCATTTATTATATACTAAATTTTTCTTAATAATGATATTAACATATTAAAATATACTTATCTCAATTTAATTAGATAAAAATAAATTAAATTTATAAAATGAAGTATCCCATTTAAACTCTTCATGTGGGACCAAGGGCAATTTCCCCCAAGAGAACGGATAGACATGGAAATAGAAATAGGTGGAGGGACCCACACGAAGACAAACCAGAGTCCAGAACCACCCCCCCGGCCAACCGATCCTCGCAACTTACAACCAAACTAATCACCTCGCCCGCATTATCATGTTTCCCAGCTTTTCCCTTCTCTCTCCTTTTATTTCCCCTCCTCTTCCTGTTTCTCTCTTCCCTGTTCTCCTTCTACATCTCTCTCTGTGTGAAGGGACAATTACGATTTATGACCCTGGGTAGCGTGGCGGGAATATCCCATGATGAATCATGCCCCCAATTTACCCTTTTACCCTCACCCATCCAGTAACATCCATTATAGATTTTCAAATTACGATTCTCACACGCCTTCTTCTCTTACGGCTCATTGACATTGACTCAAATCCAGACAAACAGCTCTCTCCTTGACACGCCTTCCGAGCTAAGCAATTGAATTCTTATCGCCGACGCTGGATTAATTGTCACATTGAATTGCTCTTGTTTTGGCCTGACCTTGCATTTATGTGATTCTGGGTCTCATTGTTTCGGTATATGTGTCTTTTCCTCTAGTCCCTTTTAATTCATTGATTACAATTAAGCCTCCCTTCTTCCTTCTCCTTGGTTCAGTGTACCCACCCACACGCCTCTTACCTTTTGCCATGTTTTGATTTTGTTATGACTTTCCTCGGTGATTACTACGGCCTATATACTCCGTTTTCATGGAATTCCCTTCTCGTAGGTGCTTTTTTCCCCCGTCTTCTATCCTTCTGTTTTATTTACAGCTTTCTGTAAATGTCTTGGTTAGCTGATTGGATGTGTTGTTTTCCCCTCTCTTTTTTTTGCCTTGCCTCCTCCTCTTTTTTAACTTCTGGGAACTAAAGCTGACATTATTGGCGGGTTTGAACGAATTTTGGGTCTCAATAGCATAAAGCGCGGTCTTGATGGGGAAAGGTGACGATGGGCGATGCATCTTTCCTCTTAGGAGTTTGCAAATTGGGTAAGGTTGATGAAGTTGATTGATTATATCATATCGTGCTACTAGCAATTGCTGGTAGATTAAAATGTCATATCGTATGCTGATTATGATTAGTACAACCTGAAAGGAGGAAAAATATTCATTCTCCTGATCTTCTTTGATTAGCAATATTTGTCAGCTTATAGTTCTTATCGTAAGTTTGTCTTCCTTTGAGCTGCATAGAGGCGGTTCGATTGGTCTTTTATAACATATGCATTTGAACAACATGATTTGCAAGTTGACAATTGACTGGGGGAGGTTTCTGGTTTCTCAAGGGGAATAAGGATGATGTTCTCTACTTCGCTTCCATGTTCGCGTAATCCCTGTTTTTGTTTTTTTATCGGGCAAGTTTGTCATCCCGGTTTATATTCTTTTCAGATCTTCGACTTTATTGTCATATTGTTCATTTATTATCAAATCAGAAAAGAAAACTGTTGGAAATGCAGCTGATTTTTCTTTCAACTTACAGTAATTAAATGATTTGCCACATCGGATTGATAAAAATTCCTTTTAGATTTACTAAAAAGTTTGATAAGGAAATCACGAGTCATCGTGATTTTGTTTACATATTGATGACGTTTGGTTTTAAGACATTTGTCTTGAATGATCCAGTGCATCTTTTAGGATTTTTTTTCTTTTTTCCCGCAGAGACTTGCAGTCATACCTCTCAGACCTTAGTCTTTTCCTTGCCAATGATAGTAAAAAATTATATATTTTGGTTGACAACCGACCATGGTTGAGAGACTTGGGTCCTCGGAGCGCTCACTTGTGGCAGCTGATGGTTACCAAGGTTGGTAAAAAACCATAATTTATTGAAGCCACTTTTGTCTGGCATTTATCCTGGAATATGAAGTTAATAATTTTTATTTGATTTCAGTCAAGGTTGTCTCCTTTTGCAAACACAAAAGCTCGAAGACAGAGAAACCAGGGAGAGGATGTTTGTTCTGGACCAAGCACAAGTAAACCAAAGAGCTTTCTAAGATGGTTCTCACTGATTGATGTGGTGATGTCATCAAGAAAGAGAGTTTTGCTGCCCGTTAAAAAACTAAGAAATTCTTTGCAGTGGAGCAGTGAATTACATAGGACCTTGCATGGCTTTATTGTATTTGAAGTTGAATGGGCCTGTGTCCGTGGTATGAGTTACTTGAATGAGCTTCAGGTACTGCATCTCTTGCATGCTCCTCATTCTATTTGTAGTTGTCTACTCTATACTATAGTCTATCACTCTCACACCTTTTTTTCTTTTTGGTTTTGCAGACTGACACCTCATTGGCTATAGAAACTAAATATATGAAAAGATGGGAATTTGACAGCATTGCTCAAGCCGCAAGCTGTATGTCTTCATGGTTTTCAGGAACACGGTCTGAACAGCTGCTTTTGAAAGAGTATTTGGATTCTGCCACAGGTGGTAACATGGATTCTCATATTTTTATGGAGTTTAATTTCACAAATATGGAAAAAATGCAATCTAATTATCCATCTGGTTATATATAAAGTTCATATGTAATGAAAGAGCTAGGATTTTGATATGTGGCACCAATTTGGCAAGACATAAGTTAGTATCTGTCAATAGGAGGCTATTTATTGTTTTGTTTTGTCACGGCCGTGGATGAAATTTTTCTAATTAGTTGAAGCCAACAATTTGGCATTGGAAAAAAGCTTAAAGGAGACATTGTGTTCTTTTTCAAACTCAAGTTTGACTAATTCAATTTTAAACTATGCTTCAATTCTGGTAGAGGTACTCCTGGCCATCATTGAATAACTTCCTGCAGTTGCAGCGTCACAATGAATTCCACAATTTTCTTCAGATTCAACAACTCTGGCATCTCTCTCTCTTTTGGCTTTTTATGCCCCTCCCCCATCTCATTGATCTATTACTCTTAAACAGATCCCCTCTTGAACAGATCCTTCTCTAACAAATTTTTTTTTTGGCAAAAAAAGTCTCCCCCCTCAATTGTCTCTTCAATTTTATTATACCATACACCCATACATAACGCATGTAATGATGCTTGCATATCTCTATTCCTTTGTTCTCTCTCTTCCACTCTAAGTATCTGTTTGTCTGTATATGTAGTTGCTTCACATTATTTGTGTAATCCTAGATTGCGCTACATTTCATTTCATCACTTGATGGTATCAAAAGGTTGCCAGGTTTCTTTAATTTCTAGACAAAAAGAATGTTTCTAAATGTTTCTTCATCTGCATTATTTTTAGGGGAACTCTTTTATGATGCTAGTGAAGATCTTTCTGGGAGTATACCTATTGACAGTGAGGATAAAATGTGCAATGGTATGCTGAATGTGAAGGATGGTTCTGTTGACAGTCGGGGTAGCCAGTTTGGTGTATATTGTGAGAATCAGGAACAGATGGAAGACATGCTGCACACGCCTCCACCATCTGGACCTTACAAAAGGAGAAAAGTAATGAAGTCCCTTGGTACTGGAGCTGGAGTTCATAGCTACTCCAAGGAAATGCCTGGGGGAATTGATGACGATAGAATATATAGTGGGACCTCATGCGGTGTTTCTGAGATTGTAGTGGAAAACACTCAGTATAAGGATGTTCTAATACTGTTTAGGTTTGATGACCATGACCTTCCATTTAAATTAAGGGAAGTTATAGTACCTGATCTGCGGTTGCTTACATTGTTAGAGGCTGGCCTTCCATCTTGGGTCATCTTCTTACAATCTTACCCAGGATTCTGTAATCTATATCGGCCATGGATGTGCCCACTGGCAAGAATTTTATATGCACTTATCTCGGTTGTCACTGTCATAATAGGATTTTATGATTTATATAAAAATGTCCCTGTTCTTAAGGCAACTGCATCTCGTATATGTGGGCCGCTTTTTGATTGGATAGAAACTTGGGAGATGGTTTCAAGGATAAAGTACTTAGGAACAATGTTGTTTCTGCATAACATTCAAAAGGCTGTTAAGTGGTGTCTTGCCTTCACACGTACCACAAGATCCTTTTTCTCTGTTCTTATTCAACCTCTTGCGGAACCATTGGTGGAGTTCTTTGGATTTCTTCTTCCAAGCTGGAATTTGTTATATAATTTAGCAGAAAACATGGGTTCTGTTGTTTGGATTGGAATTGAGACTTCCTACAATTTTGTTGAGGATCTACTGGAGCTTTTACTTTGGCCATTGTGGTCTATCATCACTCTTTTTTGGAGCATTGGTAGGTTACCATTTTTTCTTCAGAGCTTGTCATTTTGTATTTTATTCTGATATTTTATTCATAGACAAGTCTTTTGCTAATTGCTTGCATAATTATGTTTGATTGGACTGCAGCCACTTCCATCGTATATCCTATCTTTTGGACTCTTTGGGAAATCATATATGCTCCAGTTCGGCTTGTCCTTGCAATCTTGAGTTTTGTGGCTTTCATATGTACAACCATATATAATATTCTTGGAGAGACATGGCAGTTTGTTTCTGGCTTTTTTGTGGTGGCATCATCATCTGAGGCAACACTTAGCACCTACAAAGTTTCCATGTGGCGCTCTCTTTGGAATGACCTTTTTTCTCAGGTTGCACAATCGTATGTTAATGAACTTGTGTATTTGTCTGGTTTAATAAGACAACTATCCTAATTGTTATTTTTTAAAACAATGTTTCTAGATTTTCCGTGCTGTCAGGAGTATACTGAATGGATTTGTTGCCTTCTTCATGGCCTGCAACAGGCATCGACTAAGGTATTCCTTTTGCCTGTTTTCCTTTTTTTCCCATTTGATATGTATAGAACAAAACTATATCACTGTGAGTAAATGTTTGCTGTTTGATGCTTCACTCTCTGATTTATGCCTTTATTCAAGACTATTTTCCCTGTGGAAATTTCCAAGGCATTATTGATAATTTAGATCATATGATAGGTCTTCCACTCAGGCATTAAGGATAGACAGTGCTGTGTAACTATCAGCATCGTAATAATGGTACTTTCAAGTAGTTAAGTTTCTTTGCCAAAAGCACTTCATGATTTTTCATCAGAAGCAGAATGGTGAATGTCAGTACTGCTCAAGAGCATCATTCGTTGCTCTTGGTGGTGGTCCAGTGGTCAGATAATGGTTGTATGTCTTAGTTGTGGTGATTATTATTAATTTTAAAATCTTCAGTATTTAAGGCACATTTCATTATTAAAGGTGATAGTTACTTGTTACGATGTCTATAAAAGGTCAGCAGCCCCATCTTTTGAGACTCCTGCTTCCCAAACTTTCCATTGTTGGCTGGACTAAGGATTGTGGATCCTAATGGCCAATGGGTGTGGGTTTCTTTTCCTTTCTGCACAAGGGGAATTTTTGGAAGCCTGAAAGGGAACTTCGTTAGTTTTTCCTTTCTCTTCTTCCTCTTCCTGCATCAGTCTTAGGAAGTTAACGCATTTTGTTGATATTTAATCCAGAGAATTCGTTTGTTCTCGTTAGTCACCTTGATTCCTAGTTTAGAATCTCAATCAAGTAATATCTACTTCAAATCCAAATAATCATTCCTAGTTTATAATTGTTTTGTGGATGCCAATCCAGCATTATTATCTGGCTCTAACCTTAATTTGATGTATCATATGCAGCATTTATAATCACCTACAGGAGTTTATCCGAAGACTATATTGTCAGAGACAGAGATCACAACAGGCAGATTTAAGAGAAGGTAGAACAAGATACAATCTGTTCAAAAACTAATTATTGTCTGAATAATTTTATGGTTTTAGCTCACAAGTCCATATGAATCAAGATAGCATTTAAACACTAGAAAGACTAGCTTTCAATTTATGTAGATTTCATGGCGAGGATGGGTGAAACATATTCCAGCTTATCTATTGAAAAATAGAACTGAGGTCACCTTTTTTCCTCGATTGCAAAATGTCAGATGCTAGAGCACTATATATCCAAAGTTTGGTTGTTGATAGGGTACAATGACATTGCAATCCTGTAGCTAACCCCACCCATTAAAATAAGACTTGTCGACATTGTTGAAACATCCAAATGCTGCTCCTTGGTCACAGCATTTCTCAGTTAATAGGTTTATGCTAGACAAACCAAATAAGAATTGTGCATTGATGCTTTCTGACTTGGACATAAATAATTGATAGCATCCAGTCGGTACTTTTCTTTGTTCTGTGGTATGAGAATAAGCCTGCGAAACCTAAGCTTATTTCTGGCAATTTCCAGGTAGAGGAAAAGAGAAACTGCATACTGGATGAGGCCCAACGGATTAGAGATTTTTACTGTTTATTGCATTGCAACATAACTATGACAAACTTGACATTGAACGGAGAACAGACAGAGCTCTGTGGTTTGTAAGATTGCTGATGCTGCAAACACAATACCAATTGCCTATAGGATTCTTTAGATTCGTTTCTGCTTTGAACAAATTTTGCTTGAATGTTTACTATAGGATTAAGGCCTGTTGTTGTTTCCCTTTCTGAGCTAGCTTTAATTTGTAAGTTAACCTCTGTTCGTTGACTTTTTTATGGTCGAAGTTATCAGATGTATATATTTATGTATAGCCAACCTGTACATTCTCTTCAGTTGGCCGAAAAAAGAAATGTAAATACTCTTGAAGTTGTCTATAGTCATTGATTTCTTCGAATGTATACATGCATTTGAGCTTTCTATTGGATTTTTTTTTTTTTTTCATTCCCCACATTTAAATTTGATATTCTATTTGGGAGACACTGTCTGAATTCAGGAGCAGAGGCTTTTTCTGTCTACAAGGAATTTGCATATAGACTGAAACTTCATATATTTCATCCCAAGTCATTTATATCAGGACTGATAACATGTTTTCATACAAGTCCTGGAGTATCTTCTTCATTGCTTATACCTAAAGTAGCTCTCATATATTTATCCTAAGTTCACGAAATTCAAGGTGAATGCCGGTGAACATATTTTATTGATATTATATGAGATTTTTTTTTTTTAACCATCAATAGTATATGAGATTCAGTTATTACAACTCAATCATGACTAAACTTGGTTATTCAAATCTTAACAATTATTTGAGCATGGAAACATTTGAAGAGTGGATTGTTAGAATTAATTAACAAGTTTATATCCAAGATTAAAATTACCATTGAAATTTTAATTTAAGTTTGGTAAGTTAAATTTTAAATTTAAATAACAAACATATTGATTTTTCACCACAAAAACAAGGCATATCAATTTTAGGGGAAATGGTATTTAAGGGCGCTCTAAAACATTAATTACAATTAAGAATCACAGATTTTTTGAAATTCTAAAAAAAATTATAGTCCATCATTGGAATTAAAATTCGAGGAAATTGCTAAAACGGAGCAAGTGGTAACTTAATTCACTTGAAGAATTTTGGTTCTTTTGTAGCATCAAAAGAGAAAAAGAAAAAAGAATTTCGGTTCTTTCGTACAAGTAACTTCATCGTCTAGTCGTTCTTACCAATTTTTCTTTAAAATTTTTTGAATTAATTTTTTTAGCATTTAATTTTGACTTTTTAGTTCTAATCTTTAATATTTTCTTTTTATTTTGCCTAATAGAAATAGCAATTCATTGAGCAGGAAATTGTATCACCAGTCCAAGAGGAGGTCTCAACACCCAATTGGCACCATCTCTTTGAGGAAATTAAAGATATTGAAGTGATGAGCACAAAAAATATCAAAGGTGAGAACGGGAAGGTAAAAACAAATGAATACTGATAAAACCAACTAAAATTTTTAATTGCCACTAAAAAGCAGGATTCTTTTTTAAAATTTCAAAACATCAAGTTCCTTCTTTATAATTAATATTCTTATAAGATCATTAATTGTCGTTTGTGCCACAATCTTTCTCCAATTAATCAAAAATTCACATTTCAAGCAAAAGGGGCTTTTTTACCACAAAACTATATCAAAAAAATATTCACTATCAAAATGCTATACATTCAAAATTGTTTACCACAATACTATAAATCAATAACTCAACATGTATCAAATCAATTTCTATCCAGCCCCCACACAAGGAGATACCAAAAAGGTGGGGGGGGGGAATCACAGAGAGTAGTTCAGTAGCTTGACGCAGGCTGAGTTATTAGTTAATAATATTCTGGCAAATAATTTTGAATGTATAGCATTTTGGTAATAAAAATTTTTGAAAAAATATAATTTTTGATCTTTATACTTTTAGTATGTTTTGATATTAATTCTTAGACTTTTATTTCATTATTTCAAGTCTTTTAAGTTTTATCAATCTATAACATTAGTCTTTATATTTTTAAATATGACTCTAAGAACTTGATAGAGACTAATATGTACATAAACTCTGTTATTTTTGTACTGACGTGTTAAAGTTATGATGATTTGTATATAAAATGAGTGGAAGACAAAAAAAAAAACAGGATGCTTGAATGTGCAACGGATGAAGACTCATAAGACAAAAACACAGTTAGGGCAAATAGGCAAAAAGATTAATAGTCATTTTGCTCATATAATATATAACTCATCATAATTTCATAAACTCACCAACAAAATTAAATAGAATTACATGCACATCAACAGATTTAACTTTGCTAGCAATGATAAAAACTAACATTGCATATATATGAAACTTAGGAGACTTAGAGACTAATACTAAAACATGTTAGAAATATAAGGACTAATAGTTATATTTTTCCAATATTTTTTTATATAGTATTGTGGTCAAAAAGGCAGCAAAGGGATAATGGAACCACACAACAATCGATAATTTTCATTGAAATAAGGTAATTAATTTTAAAATAAGCATCATTGCAGTGAATTGTGACACCCACAATCATCAATATCATCCAAGAAAACAGGAAACACTTCGGAGACGAAATTATTGATTGCTAAAGGCTCAAAACACTGAAGACTGTAAATTTCATAAGAAGTGAAAGATAAAATCTTTCCGGTAAAACAAAGGATAAATCCTTCAGGTTAAAAAGAAAAAAGATACATCACAGAAGGTGCAGAGAGAGCACTGCAAATTTTTCAATCCCAGAATGCAAATGTAAAGGTTACATAAACAAGGCATTAATTCATATAATTAACATCAACATGAAGAAACCCACCAATTTGGTGCGACATTGCATCAATCTCATCACCATCCTCCATTTCAAGCTGAAGAAACATTTTCACAAAAACAGAAATGATTATTACGCACAGAAATAATTAAATTACAATTTTGTTGAGATTTTATTTTAATTTCTTAACTTCATTCATTCCACTATATTTTATTTCAAGATATACTTCCCACATTTCCCTTAATTTTAATTATTTCGGTTTGGTCGCTCATCTTTAATTCATTTGCTTTTGTAATTTGATTTTGATTTTATCATATGAAAAAAATATTCAAATGGTTTCCCTCTACCATTGTTTAATTCGATTGCTTAGTAAAAAAGTTATATACAACTTGGGTAAAATAAAATGAAATCATTAATTAGACTAAAGCAAATTTGACAAAAATGAAATCATAATATAAAAGTGAAACCTAATGTGAAGTTAAACAACCAAATTAAAATCAAATAAATTAGAGGACAAAAATGAAACGTAAGGTTAGAATTATAAATAGTAAATTAAAACCAAATGAAATTAAGGGGTGCAAATGACATTAAAGTTTAATATTTAAGGTTAAATAGTAATTTGATCTCTAAACTATAAATCCAAAAGTATCTAGAATTTTAAATTCATTGTTTTATGCAATGTTCTCAATGAAATGTATTCATTAACATCATTTTTTGTCATTTTCTAGCCAACCAATGATCAAAGTTCATTTTTATTATCAATAGGGACTACATTGCATTATTTTCAAAAAAATCAAGAGAAACGTTATAAAAAAATAAGTTCAGAATTTTAAACTCTACTACACCAATAATTTAAGGGTCAAATTGCCCTTTAACTTTTTATTTTTAGAGAGGCCTTAGAATGTGCTGATTACTTAACTAGTTATACTCATATTACTTATGAAAGCTTTCGTATCTTGATCAACCACCCTTTTGTTGTTACAAGGTGGTGGATGATCATAGATTAAGTATTGCTCAACCTTAACTAGGAAAGATTAGTGGATTAAATTGAAATCAAACAAAATTAAAAGACCAAAGTGAAATATCATGAGAAAAAGTGGAGGGAGAACCTCGTGTGGAGTTTGCTCTCCCTTGATGATTTGACCATCAAATAAGAAAACAATTGCATTAAAGTCCACAGATTGTCGTTCACAATATGCATTCATCAGCTTCTTCAGTTGAGTGCTCCTTTTAATCTTAAAGAATACTTCGTCCCCATCCTACAATGAACCAAAATTTTCCTTAGCCCATGAGCTCATTCAAAGACATGCTAATCTAACTAAATTTCATTGTAATGCATTTAATAAACCGCAAGCTACATACAATAGCATCAAAATGAAAAACATCACTGAATTGTACAAAGAAAAACTGGGATACTTAAGTTTGAACTCTACTCTCTAGGATACTAAAGTTTGATGATTCACTAGGCAAATGATATTTAAGAGAAATGTTGCTGTGTCACAGAATCTTGTAATGCTTTTTGTTTGACCTTTTGATATCTTGAGATGGGGTATATTGTCTTGTACAAAGAAAAATGAAATGCTAACAACATGTAAAAATGGCAGCAGCTTAAACTCATATAGAAATCCGGATTAACCTGCCCAGTTAAACAGTCAACCGGCTTAATAAAATGCTTTATTTATAACCAGATCTTTAACCTTGAACCAATGCCAGTACGCATCCAGTTTTCAATACCTTGGTTTCAAGTTTGAATTTTTGTGAATGTTAATAACAATATATCTAAAGAAAACCAGCACGAAAGAGGGAAAACCAAAAGACAAAAGGCCATGCAAACACAAACGAAGTATATAACACAATAACAGCTGAAATTTGAATTCCTATTTTGTTCGTGTAGATTAACTAAAATGAAAATAACAAGTAATGGAAACATTAAAGAAAAAAAACACCAAAAACACAGATATGAAAGCAGAATGTAAAAAGACTCAAACTTTAAACGAACTTAAGCCTGCTTATGAGTGAAAACTTTATGAAAAGAAGCGAAACAGAGAAACAGCGAGAAGAGAAGCGAATAGAAAAATACAGCAATAAATAAAAAGGTCAAAAAAGGAAGAAAGAAAGAAAGAAAGAGACCTGAGCTTTCACTTTCAGATTGATGTGAGCGAACTGATCATTAGGCTTCTTTTCCTCCAGTTGCTGAGTATTCGGAGTCTCAGACATTGCTTTCGGCTTCCTGTCTTTTGTCTCGTGAACTCAAATTAGGGTTCCGTTTCGTTTTTATCTGACCAGAGACTCCTGATTTCATGCTAGATACATGCTCCGGAATTCGAAATGGCCTCCGGCCGTTAATGCACTCAACGATGACGAGGAAGACGAACAGTGCGGTTGATCGTGTCACAAATTGATTGGGCCTTTATAAATATATTTTTTATTTGAAAACACATACACATAAATTTTAATGCCGCACTATGGTCATATTTTGTTATAAACTTTTTTATTTTTTTTTTATATTTTAAGTCTTTGTATTTTTTATTTGTCTTAATCTTAAGCCTCAATATAAGAATTTAAAGTTATATTTTAAAAAAATAATAAAATTAATTTAAAATACATAAATAATAATTTAATATCTTAAAATATCATATTTTTTTGAAATTTATAAGAACTTTTTTATTATTAGTAAATTTATATAAATTATTAAATTATTCTTATTGAAAATAAATGAATCATAATTTTTTTTTATATTCACAACAATGTAAAAGTAAATAAAAAAATTAACAGCAAAGTTGTGATTTACTGTTACATTATTACAAATATAAAAAAAAGTTATGAATAAAAGAAAAAAAATTATGAATCATTTATTTTCAATGAGAGCAATTTAATAATTTAAATAAATTTATTAATAATAAAAAAAGTTTTCAAAACTTTAAAAAATTATAATATTTTAAATGATCAAGTTATCATTTATATATTTTAAAGAAATTTTATTATCATTTTTTCTTTTATTTTAAATGTTATTGATTAATTAATTAACTTGAAATGCTAGCCAGGCTTAATAGTCCATTTAAACCTGTTTTTATTAAAATTTGAGCTGAAAAAATTGAAAACTTTTAATGCAATTAGATTTTTATGCCTAATCTTATTATGATGTATAAAAATAGGCTCGAATTCAAGCAATCCTACAAGCCCATAAAAGAAAATTATATTAGAAAACATAAAGAATGAGGAAATATTAATATTTTGTAATTTATTTTGTTAGTTTATGAATTAAAATAAAGTTTGTAGTTATGAATTTTATCCACAGTTTGTTGTTTTGGTAACTTTGTTATTTAAAATGTTTTCGTGATAGTGTGATACTTTGAAATAACCATTAGTTCAATTCTTTGATTTGTTAAGCAAGTTTGTGTGTGTATCTCTAGTGATTAAGATGTAAAATTTTGATTTATGATTGTGATATAATTCAATATATAGATTTTTTATTTATCTTACTTTTTAGAAAATTTCAATTAATTTGTAATTTTATAATGTTGAATTTTATTTTTAAAAATTATTTTAAAAAAAAAAAAGCTTACAGACCTAATCTTAAACCCTTTAAATAAAGGCCAGATTTTAAAAAGTGATAAAAAATTAAGAAAATAGAACCTATGGACATGAACCCATAAGAGTAAGGTCCAGACAGGCCAAGCTCACCCATTTCCTATCTCTAGTTGTATATACTCTCTCCATTTTTAGTTGTAAGCAAATTTTAATCAATTTATATAATTAAAAAAATTAGTTAAATATAATATATATATATATATATATATCTTAAACTAAAAAATTAGACTAAATTATTTTTTTTACAATTAATAAGTTTGTCTCGTAAAAATAAATTTTAATTTTGTGATAAGTTTTTAAATTTTATTTATAAAAAATAATAAATTTTATGATAGTTTCTTTTATAATAAAAAAACTAAGGCAGTATTGACAAATGAATGATCTAGTATATTAATAATTTTACTTGAAAAAAAAAGAGTATCAATTAACTTTTATTATTTGGCCAAAAAAATAGTAACTTTTATTAAAATTAACATTGTTTACATTTTTTTCCCTCAAAACATCTTATATTTCGAATTAGGGAGAGTATAATAGTTAGCTGAGATAATTAACTTTTTTGGCTCGTGGAACTCACATTTCAATAAAAATTAGATCCTACGGAGTCATATCGACATATCATGTAACTAATTGAATAGAAAAAGGAATAAAAAGATAAAAATACTCATAAAATAGCTCACCAGAAGCTGATATTTTAAAGTGAGGAAAAGAATATAAATAACCATACCATTATATGAGTGGGTGCAAAAGTAATTAAACCATTAATTTTGATCGTTAAATATTGATTGTATATGCCACATGTCAGTCTTTGTTGATATTAACTAATAAAATGACAAAATTACTCATGAAGTTATCGATCAAGAACAAAAATATCCATAACTTTATCAGAATTAGCGCAAAAGTGACCAATCCATCAAATTTTTTAAATGTTAATTGTTTAGTTGACACCTAAGTAAAAGTTGACTATTTTTTTGTTGATATAAACAAAAAATATTCCTAAATAAATTTTTACAGAAATTGATTGATCATTATATGAGTGTTCATAATATTACTTTTATAGGTGCAATAATGACTAATCCATCAAAATTCATACCACACGGTTGATCGCTCTCATACAGTTGCTTGTTTCAACATAATTCTTTATATCGCCACGTATCCCAACCCTTTCCTCCCCTCCCTCTCTACTTATTTTTTTTATCTGTAAAACTTGAAATTCAATATAATAAGATAAGTTATGCATAATTGAAGATTGAGACTAAGCACACCTCCTACATTGCCTTATCTTAAGAACATTGTCATGACCTTAAACAATTTTATTTATAATATGTTCAAAATTTTTAAATGATTTTTGCCATTGCTGTAAAAAAAACAAGCAATTTAATTTGATATTCAGTTAAAATGATATTTTTCGGTCAAAATGACATTTTCTTACATGTTATTTATAAAATGACTGATCAACCTCTAACGAATTTCATCTAGGAATATTTTTTATCCATATTAGCAAAAAAAAAATTATCAGATTCTGCTTAGGTGTCAGCTAAACTGTTGACATTTAAGAAATTTGATGAATTGATCATTTTTGTACTAACTCTAATAATGTTATGGGTATTTTTACTTCGGGTCAATGACTTTGTGGATATTTTTTTTTCCTTAATTAGCTTATGTCAGCAAAAATTGATATATGGCATGTACAGTGAGCATTTAACGATCAAGGTTAATGGCGTTAGGTTAAAGTTAATGATTTAATCACTTTTACACCCACTCATACAACGTTATGAATATTTATATTCTTTTTCTCACTTTAGAATATTGAATGCACCTGATTGATCACTTTATGAGTATTTTTACTCTTTAATCCTAAAAAAGTTTCTATACATCTTTTCTAAAACAGTTACTCCTCGGTTTTATATTTTTACACGATCCTTTTAATGGGATCCTATTGATTATAGAAAGTTTTTGAAATTAATCAAATATCTTTTTGTTGAAAAAAATTTTTGGTCAATTTTTTTTAATTTTTTTCTTTGGGCTAAAAGTGAAATTTAAAAGTATATTTAATATATATAAAATTATGATATTTTTATTTAATTAATTTGCTAAAATATCTCTGTCAAAAAAAAATGATTTCCTCTCTGCATCCATTTTCTACACCCAAACCTCTAGCCACCCTAACATTCGAATACCTACTCACTCATGATACAGAATCTTTGAATGTAGATGAAATACAGTAGAGAAGATGAAGACGAAGCTGGAGAAGTTGAAGATGAAGACGAAGCTAATAGCAATCGCAAAGAGGAAGTGCTAGATTTCTATTCGGTATATCTGAAGGTTTGACGAGTGCCGTCACATTCTCGCCGTCGCCACGGTCCTCACCATTGTCATTGTTACCTCCCCAGCGCCCCCCATAGTGTCTGATCTCTCAGACGGTGATGGTGTCAGAGATGATGTTGAAGACCAGTTCAGTCAAAAATGGTAGTGCGGTGGGGATGTCAAAGAGCATGGTTGTGAAAATAGGAGAGGCAAATGTGTCTAAAAATTTTATTAATAAGAGCATAATTATTTGAAAAAAATATAATTTCATGTAGCCTATCTCATTTTCATGGATCTGCTTATGAAAACCAATTCAACTTTTTTTTTTTTTTTTATGGAATTCAACCCCTAAGCGAGGAAGCATAGGATAACATAAAAAACTTTTATTAGTTTCCACCATCTTGGACAAATCAAAATACTCTCTCCAATTCTATTCATAAAATAGCAAGACATATTTTTTCTTAATTTTATTTATAAATCATATCATTAATTTTTTATTATAAATTTTTCATCTTGCTATTTATTCAATGCTATAAAAAATATATATTATTAAAATATATATATTTAATATTGATAAGTTTTAGATATTTTTAAACTAAGTTAATGAGCTTGAGAGCCTGTTTGGTAAGACACTTTTTAAAAACTAAAAATTATTCAGAGTATATAAAAAATGAGATGAAAGTGCTTTTATAAATATTCTTTGAGAAAGTCGTTAAACCTAAATTTGTTCAGAGAATATAAAGGTTGTTTTTTGGTATAATGCAACTGTTTCAATTTTTGAAAATACAATCTACTTATATTTACTAACGTGATATTACATATATTTTTATTTTACTTTCATTTTATATTTAATAAAAAGTAAAAATTATTAACAATTTTTGTCAAATATTGTAATAAAAATAAAATCTCAAGATACACTGAATACCATATCTTTAATATTTTTATAAAATTATTTATTCAAAAGTTAAAAAATAACAGTCGAAGAGGTTTTCTGGAAATGGTTTCTTATTTTCGTAATAGTCAAATTATTAAAATTTCTCATGTAAATGTTTTTATTTTGCAATCTTGATTAAAATTTTTGGCTCCGCCCCTGACTATACCAACAAATAAAGACCTATTTAAAAACTTATTATAAAAATAGTTTTCTGTTCTTCAAATCAAAAGAACAAAAAAATTTATTTTTGGTAATGTATTTTCAAAAAATATTTTAAAAAAATAAAAAATAAAATATTATTCTAAAAAACAAAAAAATAAAAATAACTTTTAAGTGATCTGTGATTATTGTTCTGGAAAATAAGGAAGAATGAGACAAACACTTATTTTTATTATTTTTTTATTTTTAAAATATATTTTACAGAATATTAATTTTTAAAATAATAAAATAAAAACAGTTTCAAACAGTTTTTAAAGTTCTGAGACGTCTTTAAAAAAATAAAAAAATACATACGATTTGTTGATTAAATTTTTCCTCAGTAATGTACAAAAGAACAATAGCAGTGATATGATATATAAACGGCGATTCCAAAACATGAGCATGTGAGATTCTGAACGTTCTTAATAATAACAACAAAGAAGTCGTCCTTCCGTCAAATTATAATCACTCTTCAATTTTCATTTCCACTTTCCCCCTTCCAGTTAATCACCCTCCCTCTCGCTAACGTTCCAATTTCCACGTAATCCCCCTTTTTCTGCTCCTCGAATCACTATTCTCCTCCATCATTAACACGTGGCGCCAATCCCCGCTTACAGATCATATGATTATGGTGCGCCTGATGAGTACCCCATCACTCCGATTTCACTGTTTCCCCAACGTAAACTTCACTGTGCTTAAAACGGTCGAGTTGTGTGGGGCCACGTGACGACAGGTCGCTATTGGGTGGGGACCAATTAATCCCCTGTGGTGAGTCCCCGTACTCTCTCCTTCTTCCTCTTCGCCTCTTCACTGACACAAAAACCCTAAAACACTAAACACCACCTCCATTACCATTAGTTCATCATCCTCCCCAACTTGCGTTAATTGTGTGGTCCCCATCATTAATTCATTATCTCCCCTCTGGTTGCTGTCGCTGCCACAAATGTGGGTCCCTCTCCCCCCTTCCCCTCAATACCTCCGCAAATAAAAGGAGCACTTCTTTCGCATTTCCTCACCCACACACACACCCACTCCACTAATCCCAGACAGAAATTACAGCGCGAAAGTTTCCACATTCTCTCGTCTTCAACCCCCACGTGCTCTGTTCCTCCCGCCAGAACCATAGCATGCAGCCCCTCATTGTATTCACCATCTTCTTCCTCATTTCGTTTCTCTCTTTCGCAGGTAATGCCTGGTCGAAACTTCTCAAGTCCGCATTGTGCTTCAGGGAGTCTCGTTCTTTTTCTGTGGTTGTTGTTTGTTTTAACAATGCTAAGTAGGTTTTGGGTGTATTTTTTTCTTGCAGATGCTGGTTCAATAGGAGTGAACTATGGCCGTGTGGCGAACAATCTTCCGTCGGCGGCGAAGGTGGTTCAGCTGATGAAATCTCAGGGAATAGAGCGCACGAAGGTTTACGACACCGACCCTGCCGTTCTGAAAGCATTGTCCGGTTCTGGTATCAAGGTCACTGTAGATCTGCCCAACGAGCAACTCTTTCAGGCAGCTAAAAAGCCCTCATTTGCTTACTCATGGGTCCAGAGAAACGTCGCCGCTTACTATCCTCATACACAGATCGAAGCCATTGCCGTGGGGAACGAAGTCTTCGTGGATCCACATCACACCACCAAGTTTCTCGTACCCGCCATGAAAAATATTCAGCAAGCTCTCGTCAAGTACAATCTTCACTCGGATATCAAGGTTTCTTCCCCCATTGCCCTCAGTGCCCTGGGAAACTCGTACCCTGCTTCAGCCGGGTCGTTCCGACCCGAACTCATCGAACCTGTTTTCAAGCCCCTATTGGCTTTTCTGCGCCAAACAGGGTCGTATCTGATGGTTAACGTGTACCCTTTTTTCGCTTACGAGTCTAACGCTGACGTTATCTCTTTAGACTACGCGTTGTTCAGGGACAACCCGGGTGTTGAGGATCCGGGTAACGGGTTGAGGTACTACAATCTCTTCGACGCTCAAATCGACGCCGTTTTCGCCGCTCTCAATGCTCTCAAATACGACGACCTTAAGGTGGTGGTCACCGAAACGGGATGGCCCTCCGAGGGAGACACGAATGAGGTGGGTGCCAGCATAGAGAACGCCGCTGCTTACAACGGCAATCTCGTTCGTAAGATCCTCACTGGCGGTGGGACCCCACTGAGACCCAAAGCAGATCTCACCGTGTATTTGTTCGCGATGTTCAACGAGAACCAGAAACCAGGCCCCACATCGGAGAGGAACTTTGGGTTGTTCTACCCCAACGAGAAGAAGGTTTACGATATTCCATTAACCGTGGAAGGCCTCCGGCACTACCACGGGCAACCGTCATCTTCGTCGTCCCCGATTCCGGCCAGCGGTGGTCAACCACAAGTGTCGCCGTCTCCCGTCAACGGCAGAGGAGGGGTGTCGAAGAGTACTGTGGCGACCTCGTGGTGCGTGGCAAATCCGGATGCCGGGAAAGAGAAATTACAGGCGGCTCTAGATTACGCTTGTGGTGAGGGAGGTGCTGATTGCCGTCAGATTCAGCCAGGTGCCACGTGTTTCGCTCCTAACACGCTCGAGGCACATGCGTCGTACGCTTTCAACAGTTACTATCAGATGAAGGCACGCGCAGGTGGTAGCTGCTACTTTGGAGGCACGGCGTACGTGGTCACGCAACAGCCTAGTAAGTGCCCTATCGAAACCCTATTTTTATTTTTAACCCTTGTGTGGTAGTAGTATATCTCAGTAGATTCTGATCCCGGCTTAGAGTTAGATAAGTGGAACACACGTAGATGCTAACGGGAGCCGGAGGGAGAGTGACAACATAGGGGTGTAATACCCCACTAACATGGTTAAGTCCACGACAGGTCCGCAGAACCGTCAAAAAGGCACGTGATAGGGTTGACAGCGAAGGGAATCTTTTGCTATTGATGTGGGGAAGGCTTTATTGGGTGGAGTGTAAATATTTAGGGGGCACGATCATTAGGTTCGTACTACCTTGGTAGATGAAGGCGGTTTTTTACCTCCTCCACTATTCATTTTTACTTACCGAGGGTAATTTTTTTTTTTTTGGTTTTTTTTGGGTGTTGGCACGCTGAGCGCTGAGGGTAAATTTAATATAGTGCATTAAGGAAATACTGAAGGGTAAATCGAATGCTGAAGAAGAGAGGGAATATTAAAATAGAAAAAAATGGAACTGGTGAGATTTGGTGAGCAGCAGACAGTGGCGAGAGAGTCAAAAAGATTGAGCTGTCTGTCACTCTGGGACTGTCATTCACATGGGATTCCAAAATGACCTTTGGGGAAAGAGAAGACATACTTGATGTCCGAGTTGCTTTTAAAATTTGTTTATAAATATATTATTTTGATATGGTAAGAAATGTGAAATTATATGGGTGTGTGCAGGATATGGTGCTTGTGAGTTTCCAGCATGATAATGTGGTGAAGAGGATCGAAGAGAACTGACAGTATAATGTAATATATTTGTTGTTGCACATTTGGGCTGATTTTGATTGTGCAGTGTAAAAAGTGAAGAAAAAATGGGGGTCTGATGAATTTTTTGGAGTTTGGGAATGTATCAATAATGATATTTGGGAGTAGGTTGTAGTCCATTAACTTGGAGGCCCTCATGCCATGTTAACTTGGAATTAAACTTCGTACTAATATGTTCACTTGGTTGTTCAATCTTAGTTATGTCATGTTTATGCGTTGTATCTACGTTTCTCCTCAACCAACCATAGATATTTTAATTTAATTGGCTATCTTCCATGTTAAATGCTCCCTCCACACCATAATACATGGCATTGATATCTGCCTTGTGAGTGAGATTTTAGTCTTTTAAAATTTTTTACTTGTTTTTAATTATAGTTATGAAATATATTTTATAAGTGTTTTAATAATGATAATTAAAATTTTAATACATTATATTTTCAAAAATAATAATGAAGTTGGACATAATTAAAAATTAATTATAAAAATTATTTAATCTCTTAAAAATTTGACATTATATTTGATGAAGTGAGTGTTGAAGAACGAAATTGTATAATTCTTCATCTGGGTCAAAATATTGATTTATCTATGATTATTTAAAAAAATATTAGTTGAAATATTGATATTTAAAAAAAAATCACTTTTTTAATTACATTTAATTATATCGGTGTCATGATAGTATTAGATAATTAAAAGAGTAACAAATGCAATAGAGTTATAGTTAAAAAAATAATTTTATAAGTTATTCAATTTTTTATATTTTAAATCAAATAAATTTTTTAAAAATGTGTTATATTATTTGGAGTGTAGGTAAGTCTAGCATAATCTGCTTGCAAGTACACATCCATGCCCAAGAAGAAGAATGATTGAAATATAATATGATGATTATCAAATTATTTGAGCATCACGGATGTTGACTATTGGAGGTGAAAACAGAAATAAAACATCACCTTTACTCTTTGCAGAATTGTTTTCTACATATTTTATTGTAATTAAAAAAATTTATAATTTATTAATTTTATTTAAAAATTTAATAATCTTTTAACTTTATTTTTGTTTAATAAAATATATCTTTCCTAACAAACATTTAATATGAATAAAAAAAAATTTGTAACAAAAAATTGTGACACAATACTCCTTGAATTCTATTTATAAAATTTTTTTTAAATCTTATTAATTTTATTTAAAATGTAATAAATTTTTAACTTTAACTCTATTAAATATATATTTTAAAAATAAAATATTTTAATATTTAATAACTTTTACAGCATTTAATAAAAATAAAATAGTAAAGATGAACTTAAAAATTATAAAAATAATTTATAAATAATACCAAAATAAATATCTTTTCTATAAATAGGTTTAAAGAAATATGCTCAATAATAATACCACCAATATTAAAAAAAAATACAAAGTTGTAATAGTGTAATTCATGCGCAAGTAGAGTGTGGAAAAGAATGTTGGCGAAATATAGAATCCAATAAAAAACATAGGACAAAAAAGGTAGTGAAAAGTGGGGTCACGCTATCAATAATAAGAGTCCGAATTTGTTCAACAAATGTAATAACGCACCTCATACCATGCCCCCCACCTTTTGATTCATCCCCTTTCTACTTTGAATCATGAAAGTAAATATTCCATCCCAAATCTCACCTTTCATTTATAACATGCATGTCCTACCCATATCATCAACTTGTTCTTATTTTAATAATTGACCCACATTCTTCTTGTTTCTAAGAGTAAATGGGCAAAATTGTTTAGAAGTTTTTAAAAAAAAAACAATAGGTATCTTTACTTTTGAGTTAGAGTAATGTTGCTTTAAATCTTTTAAAAAGAATACAATGCCACTCCGATATTAATTTTGACTATTGAATAATTGAGTTTGACTAGTAGATGTAATGTGGCAAATTTTTTATATTGATGTGGCGAGGTAAGTGAGACAAGTTGATAAAAAAGGCTATATTTTCTTTCGTCAACCTTCTCCTTCATTTTTGTCGATCTTTCTCCTCCATTACCTCACCGCTGATCAAACAATTAAAAAAAATACATGTAGTTATCCTCTTCTTCCTCCTATTTTCCTTCCTCATGGGAGGAAATTTTTCAAAAACTAAAAGCAAAAAATATTAAATCTAAAACAAATCATTAGGTACCTTTGTTCTTATTTTAATAATTGACCCACATTCTTCTTATTTTTAAGGGTAAATGGGCAAAATTGTTTCAGAAGTTTTTTAAACGAAACATTAGGTACCTTTGATTCATCCCCTTTCTACCTTGAATCATGAAAGTAAATATTCCATCCCAAATCTCACCTTTCATTTATAACATGCATGTCCTACTCATATCATCAACTTGTTCTTATTTTAATAATTGACCCACATTCTTCTTGTTTCTAAGAGTAAATGGGCAAAATTGTTTCAGAAGTTTTTTAAAAGAAACATTAGATATCTTTGCTTTTAAGTTGGAGTAATATTGCCTCAAATCTTTTAAAAAAAATACAATGCCACTCTGATATTAATTTTAACTATTGAATAATTGAGTTTGACTAGTAGATGTGATGTGGCAAATTTTTTATATTGAGGTGGTGAGGTAAGTGAGACAAGTTGATAAAAAAAGTTATATTCTCTTTCGTCAACCTCCTCCTCCATTTTTATCGATCTTTTCTCCTCCATTACCTCACCGCTGATCAAACAATTAAAAAAATACCTGTAGTTATCCTCTTCTTCCTCCTATTTTCCTTCCTCATGGGAGGAAATTTTTCAAAAACTAAAAGCAAAAAATATGAAATCTAAAACAAATCACAAATTGCATATTAGTCACAAAGTGATCTAGAATAGGGTTGGAAAACCATATACAGGACAATATGACTAAGTCAATCCTACAAGATTGATAGTAGGGATCTAATCCAATTAAATTATCAATTAGTGTGTTAAAAAAGAAAACGAAAAATGCATGCACAAGATGGCAAAACATAGAAAATGTAATTCAATGCTTACTTCTTGAAGAACCTTGCTTTTTTTGCAACTTATCAACACTCTTAATCGTGAAATACTCAATAGTCCATAAACATAGATAGAGTCATGGAGAGGGGGGGGGGAAGGCAGTACATCATCTCCTCAAGCAGACAAAACAAGAAAGTAAGAGTAAAATAGAGCCCAAAATCATCAAAATTCGCATAAGCACAATCAATGTTCGCTACAAGAAAAAAAAAACAATTAATGTTGGTTATAATGGCACTAGCATAATTTTGTGGACAACAATTCATAGGACATTCATTTACCCGACATGGCAAGTTATAGTTTTTAAAAATTAAAAAAAAAAATTAAAGCATTTCTACGTCAGTTTTTTACACAACTGACGTGGAAATCAGATTCCACATCAGTTACTGGTGTGGAATCTTCTTCAAAATGTTGTTCGATGCCCCCTTTCCTTGTTTTAGTGTTTTGATTGGCCATTTCTCATGTTGCTTCCTCTTTTCTCAAACTTCACTGTGCTGTCATCTGAAACCACCAACGCCTCTTTGGAGTTTGTCGTTGCCTTCAACGTTGCCATCCAGCGTCCGCCACCGTTCACTGCTCGCCTTCTTCATTGAGGGTATAGGCAAGTGTTCCTCTTCTCTCTCCTCCTTCTTTCTTATTCCTTCTTCCTCCTCCAGTGTTAGTTAATGCTTTTTTGTAATTTTTCTTCTTCCTTCTTTCAATAATGTAGTGGCAGAATTCTTCTTCTCTCTTCCTCTTCCATTGTTGCGGCTTTTAGGTTTTCAAAGTTCTCCATTTCCTTCCTTGTTTCAAGTAAGTTTCATTGTTTTTTTTTTATTAATTTCTCATTTATTTCTGAAATTTATAGTAGATAGGAAGTTGTTTTATATTTCAAGTTTTCATATTTATTGTTGCATATTTTTTTAATTAAATTATTGAGAATAGAAAAATTATTATATTTCTAATTCTAATGCTATGATTGTTGCTGTTTGAATTTTGATATTGTACATTTTGTGATTGTTGATATTTTGAAATGTTATAATTTTAGGGGAAATTATGCCAAATTTTTGTTTCTAATTTTTACAAATAGAAAAGATAAATATGATTATTGTCGAGTGAATTTTTTTTATAATTGTTGAGATTTTGGGATCACATATTTTATGGGAAGACTTTGCCAATTTTTTTTATAATTTTTGTGATTTACAAATTGAAAAATAATATACTTCAACTAAGGAAAATAATATACTAAAGACAATGCATGAGAATTTAATTTCTTTTGAATTGTTATATGTTTATAAATTGCTTAAATTACTTTTTTATAATGCTTGAGTGATAAGTTCAAGTTCATTGTTGTTGAAAATTGTTAATCTATCAATATGACGGATTATATGTTGATTAATTATGTAGTGAAATAATAAATTATAGTTGGATGAATGCTATGAGAGTAAGTGAAAAATATGAAAATGGAGTGAAATATTTTCTTCAATTTGCTAAATGGAATGTTCTTAGTAAAAATGAATTCTATTTTTGTCCACATGTAAAACGTTTAAATGGGAGTTGACTAACTATTGATAAAATAAGACATCATTTGTTTTGTGATGGGATAAATTTGAGGCATATAAAATTGATATGACATGGTGAAACTAAAGGGATGAGCTCACTATCCTTAAAGAAAGAAGTAGGTGCAAATACTTGAGATAGAATAGAGGATATAATTAATGATGTTGGAAGTATTGAAAGATTACATGAGATATTTGGTTTTTGTTATTTTACTTTAAATTTTTGTATTTAATTTCTTAAGGTGATTAATTTTATTATTTAGATTTTTAATAATATGGAGCCCTATGATAAGGAGGAGATTAATGACCTTTGAGATATTTTGACTTAACATTTTCTCCAAGATTACTTTTTAAAGTAAAGAGGTTGAATAAAATTTTATAATTTTTTAATAGTTGAACAATTATATATGTAAATTAATATATTAGTTATACGAAGAAAATATTATCTTAGTTGATTTTATAAATATTCATTTAGTATGGTTCTGACTTGTTGCATGGTCATTCACTCTGTTGCCTAGCCATTTATGCTTGCTCTATAATTTAATGCAATTTACAGGTTTAAGTTTAGAATATATGAAAAAGAAAATATTTTTTTTTTAAAATAAAAGTTTTAATAATAGTTATATAAAAAACTAATATTAAAAAAACTTTTAACATCAATTTTAACTAAATAATTGTTGTAAAAAGTCAACCTTCACGTCGGCGTAAAAAGTCTTTCCACTTCGTTTTTTTTTCTACTTCCCTTGAATTAATTTATGTAAAAATTTAAAATAATTGCTTTCTACGATCTCTCTTTCATAGATCCTATTTTACCTCTACATTCAAAATCTAGACATTCTCTCTCTTCCTTCATCCTCCTCTCCCATTCTCGATTCTTCACCGCAATTGAGAGAGAGAGAGAGAGAGAAACCTAGTTCGAAGCCATAATCATCTTGTAGGATTTGAAGCCCCTATTCTTGATTCTTCATTGCCAACTCCAACACTGACAACAAGGAGTAGGACGTGGTTAGATCGTTTTCCTCAACCTCCAAAAACCCAGTTCGACAATTTAGCTCATCTTTGATGTCTTTTTGCCACGTGTGTCCAACTTATCTCATCTAACTTGCCACCTGTAAATTTTTTTCGGTCAAACTAAGTGATTTAATGGTCAAAATGAATGGTGCTTAATGATAAGATGACATTGCACCATTTTTTAAAAGTTTCAAGTGACGTTGCCCCAAGTAAATCTGAAGGTACCTAATGGTTCTTTCCAAAAGCTTTCAAATCATTTTACCCTTTAATCCTAATTTTTTTAAATATAGTAAATGCTACAGTTTAGAATTTGTATTAATTTCAATTATCAACTAAATTTTATTTTATACTCCCTCTATTTCTTTTTATGAGGTCATTTCATCCTTATTGTTTCTTGATTTAAGACCGTTTTCACAATTCAATGAAATATTTATAACTTATTTTCAAAAATTTCCTTGGCTCTTTGACTATTAAGTTAAATAATGGCTTTGATTTGATTAATAATAATTTTAGAAAGCTGTATATATTTTATTTTTTTTTACATTTTTTGTTATATATTTTTTATTTAAAATAGAAATTTTATAGCATCAAAATTACAGTGATGGTCAAGTTTTATATATTCCTGCTTTATACTTAGCTCCTTCCATCCTGCTCATTTCATCACTTTTGAAAAGGAAATTTATTTATTATCAGTTTTGAACCTTTTTATGTATTTATTTATTTATTTTTCAAATGGGTTCTTAAACATAATTTTCTCAAGAAAAGGAATCGGCAAACCTAGATTAAAAAAAAAAGGGGGCGACAAAAAGACAGAGAATTGCAAAAAGTAACCACAAAACTCTACAACAAGCACAAGCCATTCTTTCATGTCCGAAGGCCAGTTTTACAACCTAAAAGGGCACCCTCCCCTTTTTCTTTTTATTATTTGTTTAATAAATATAACCAATTAATTTTTCTTACCAAAAAATACAATAAATTAATTGATTTCTCGCTTTTCACTTTAGTTGAAACCATTGATAATAATATCGTCTTGTGGCCAACATATAAATGTAGAAAACTTAAACACATATTTTTAATTTGAGTCTATATAAATGTAGAAAACATTTTAGAAGTTGTCCTTAGTCAAAGTAGACAATACAATCAAATAAATATTTAAAAAAAGTGTCGTACTGTAACCCACAGAGATCATATTATAATTGGTATAATATACGACTTCCACATATAATCTGAACTTTTCATCATTTTGTGCCATCTTGTGAAATCCATCGCAATCATGTATGGGAGGTAACAGATTTATTTCGACTACTTTTTTTTATTCACACTTTTCTTTTTTGAATCAACTTTAATGTACTCACACCAGGAAGAACTCAATGAACGCTTTCATATGATCACTATTTCAACGATCACACATACAAACAAGCTCTTTAAGAATATATCACTCATCGATATTTATTAAACAACTTAAAAAGTGAGGACTTGTGACTGAGACGCTTGCGTAATAGCTGGTATCCTTGTCTTCTAAAAGACCTTTCACTTTCTAACTCACATTTATTAATCAAACTAAAGCCTAGTTATTACGTAATGCATATACTTATTTCTTTTTTAATAAAAATTCCAATAATATGATAAATATATAGTACTCTAGGTGTGTGTATGGATTAAAAAATTCCACAACTAAGGTTAGAAATCAACTTATGTTAACAAATTAAGGTTAGGAGAAATGTCTATAATTGTAATGTGATTTATGTTTAAAAACATTTTTTTATAAGTCAATTGATCAAATTGAAATTTATTTAAATAATTTGATTCAGAAACCAGTTAAATGTATAATGACAAAAATTGACATGATTTTAGTTTTATATATTTTTGTGATTGATTTGATATTTTTAAAAAAAATATTAAACATAAATTACAATTTTAAAAAAGTAGATTAGAAATATAAAATATATAGTTATAGTACTTTTATGAATGTCAATATATTTGTCTAAGTATAAAATTTTGTTCTAACCTTGTTGGTCAAAAAAATATAGTAAACTAAATTATGAATCATGCGATTCTATTGTAATTTATTGTAATTCATATATAGTAAATGTGATTTGTATTGAGCCGGTTATTTATTCTGTTATTACATCCCAATGTACAATTTTTTATCATCTGGAAATCGTTTTAAGTTGTTCACCTATTTGAAAATTAATAGATTTTTTTATTAAAAAAAATCCAATATATTAATTGCAAAAGAAGAGAAAAGGCATGTGGCGTGTTTAGTTTGAAGAGTGGAAGAACGAAAAAGTTGTGGTGAAAAATGATGGAAGGAGACATTTGGCAAACACTGAATGAAAGTTGAAGGATAAATGTTTAGAAGTAAGAAAAGAAAGCAACTTGAGAAGATAATAAAGAGAGACAAAATAAGATGATGAAAAGTGAAAACGCTCATTCTTGTTGAACGTTCAGCGTAATAAATTTACTATAAAGCAAAAATAAGTAATGAATATCTTACAAGCTCTCTCTCTCTCTCTGCTTTTTTGTTTTTTTTGTTTTTGGGGGAAGTATCCACAACCACAACATCCATACCGCGTTACCGTGCGCATCCTGTACTTGTATATTTACTTCTTGGAAGTATGGTTACAGTATAGTATTTATATTGATAATGATATCATCACTGCATTTAAGATTTTTGACCTGACGTGTTTCCGATGTTGATTTTGCACCACCGGCAAACCACATTTTGTTGATGCTTACAACAAAATTGTATTTTGACGCCATATGAATGTGGTTCTAATAAACACGCCATTTATCTAAACCTCCATTTCTGCTAACAGAAGAGGACATCATTTGCAGAGTCTCACGTTTTTGGTTTACGGTTACCTGAAGTGACCAGGATAGGCTGCTAAAGACCTGGGCAACTTCTGGTTCCTATTGGTGGTGAAGATATCCAACATCTTCTGATAACCAAAACTAAATCATCTCAACAAATGGAGGTCCCAGGATGATTTTGTTTATTTACTGAGAAAATAAAACTGTTTCTTTTTCCCCAAAGAAAATAAAACTGTGGAATCAAATATTTTTAAATTGTTTTAATATTAGTTCCTTTTTTTCAATCTAATCCTTTTAATTTTATCTGTATGCAGCATTAGTCTTCATCATCGATGAAAAAGTTATTAATCTGTTTTGCCTTAACCATCACATTTTTCGCCTATCAGACATTTAAGAATTCTAATTAATATCCTACTTGTTTACTTTTGTCTTATTAGCAACCATTAAGTTCTTATGACCATATTTAAAAAAAATAAAAACTAACGTTGCTTAAACAACAAATTTAAGAGACAAAGCGATAGAAAAATATAAAGACCAATATCAAAACATGCTAAAAATATAAGAATTAATAGTTATATTTTCTCTTATTTATGAATTGAAACTCCATTTAACGCTGTGTTGTTCCCTTTGTGAGTTGCGTATTGTTATAGATATTGGAAATATATATATATATATATATATTTTAAATTTTCATAAGCTCATTTGCAACATAACAGAAGGGATCCACTTTCATTGATGGAGATTTAAGTCCCTTTAAGTGATAAGACTAAAGAGGGGACACAAAGGAAAATATGGGAGTCTACCTCTGTCACCGAGTTCCATATATCCCTTCCTTCTCCCCCAACCACCAACCACCCTCCCCCCACCCCCAAAAAAAAAAAAAAAAAAAAACACACACACACACACACACACCCCCAACTTCACTTAAATTGAGGTTCCAATTATTTGCGGCTTCCTAGTGCTCACTTCATTGTAGCCAATCAGAACGGGCGCCAAATAAGAACACCTGAGCAACTCCTATATCCAAAGAAACTCAGCAAGTATAAACATTTTAGATATATGTTTCCATATATACATCACAAACCAAAAGGGTGTTTCATATCAGAAAAGCAAGCTTCCCCAAGCAGCCATGAATGCAAAGCCGCCATATGGAGCAAACCTAGCATATTTTCTGTCTTCATATAATGCAGTAACATAACACCTGAAAATGTTCAACATATACTTTAAATATCTTCAATGACACATTCTAGGTGAACTGCAATATTTATTTACTTTTCTTCCTTAAAACTCTTAGCAGAAAACTTGGCAAGTAATTACATCAAACGATTACACGGTCGTCCTATTTGTGGAGCACTGGATAAATAAACCAATGAAATCCTATCAGCAGCTGCATACAAAGCTTCAAATTCAGATATTATTTTTTTGGTGAGACTGAATTATAGTTTCATAGCTGTTCGATATGAAAGATATCTTTGCCGACTTCAAATTACCTTCTACTAAAATGAAATGAGAATTTGTGTTAGTGGTTAGATTATAATAAACTTAGTTGAAATTATCCTTCAGATGATATCAGAGCCTTCCTAGATATGGATCCCAGATTTTGATCTTTGTCAGGACCATTGTCTCAAGTAAAATTAAATTTTGGCACTATGTTAGGTGCGCTTATGTTTTGTTCACATTTCAAGCCAAAGGGCTTTATTTTTTCGGTATGTATTTGTTAAGATTGATAAAGTCATTCGTAGGCCAATAATCACAATAGTTTTGGTGTTGAAATGATCCTTTACATGTGGCTAATAACTCAATAACCAAGTACAACACATAACAAATTTAAGAACTAGCTTGTAATTTGTTCCCAATGTAAGATCTCAAACATAATTATTTAGTCATTCATAATAGATATAATCCATGTCATAGAGTCTTGGTTTCGACACTTTGACTTCACATCATGTGATTCCCCCTCCCTGCCTCCCTCTCTCTGAATTATACTACATTAAAAAAAAAAAAAACGCTTATCACACAAGCAAAAATACGTCTACTGAACAAAGTCAGGTTAAGCCACGTTCCGTGAGTTCTCAAGAAATCCCATTGTTTCATTCCAAGATTCAAGGAGCTCCACACCTTGCAACGCAAATTATTTCAATCATCCGACCCTAGTCACTAATTTTATGTTCTTCTAAGCATTTGTCTCTGTTACACTAAAGCATGCCTGAAGTCCTTTATAACTTCATATTTTACTTAAACTAGAAATGTTATATTGCATAACACTGCGTTTATTTGTTTCCTTCCTTCAGAATTTAAGACAAATGATTATAGATGCACTCATTGCCAAGGCAAATGAAATGAGGTCACGCCTCCTTTAAGGTGCCTCACAATTGAGCATAAGCTTTTTGTTCTTTTTGTTTTTTTGTTTTTTTCAGCAAACAATTGAGAATAAGCTTGCGGCAGCAAATATTTAAGGGTATCAGGTTTTTCTGAACTAACTGTCAATAAAGCATCATGCCAATGAATAGATTTGGCCAATGATTATTCTATTAGACGCTCTGGCTGTCGCTGATTATTAAAGGAGGTGAAATATTTCAAGAGGCCTAGTTCACCAGATCTATAATTTAACCTGGTATACTGAATGCGTGTGTACTGTGTAGTTTCTTTCCCATTGCCTACACTAGGCAAACTGCAGGTTCTACTTGAATGTGCCATTTAACAAGGCAGTCCCAGGCATTCCTACTGACATAATCCGGAGTTTTATAATCATAACAGATTGCATCATTGTACACAATAACTTCTTGAATTCATACACTCATCTTTGCACTCCAACTCTCTTCACATTTCCTTACTTCATCCCACCATGGAGTGTTCCTATTATTATTAACTCAATCTTAACTCAATATCGATTCAAGAGACTAAATCTATATAACATCATATAACTATCTAAACTCCAGAACAAAAACGAAGCATTTCTTCGATTGTCTCAAGATAAGGAAATAAAAACACGTTCTTTGTTTGCCATCTTTTGCACAAGAATATGAACTCAGCACCCAGAAAAGGGTAATAAAGTTGACCTCTGGAAACTTGTTCTTAAAATCAAGCTCTAAACAACGAATCATTTCTAATAATGCTTTGGATTTAAAAGAAGAACAACATTTATTCATTAAAAGAATCAGCTCGGGATACAGAACATAATGCAAATACACTGGTAAATCAAAAGACAGCACTTACGATCCAGAGAATGCGAGAATTCCAGCTGTTAGAAGGCCTCCGAACTACTCAAACAGAAATATTGCATCGATAACCATAATGACTTTCAGACGGAAAAATGAAAAACGACTTAAACTAAATAACAAGAAGAAGAAGAAGAAGAAACAACAGCAACAATTTGGGAACTCACAACATTGGGATGTTTAGCAACAGGAGCAGCAACTAAGGCCACAGTGTGAACCAAATGGTAAAGCGATGCAGTATTCCAGACCTTTACAACGTTCCCAGCGCCGAAAAAAAGAAAAAAAGAAAAAAAAGAAAGAAAGAAACAATCAAATGAAGCTTTATGGTAAAACAGAAATCAGACGCGATAGAGCAATCAGAAAACGGAAACAGACATTTTTAAAATCAGGGTTTTCGGGCTTGAGGTAATGGGCACCATATGTACCAAATCCAAGTGCTGATACTCCTGTTTCAGTGACGCAACGAGTGAGATATAGAGAACCCTAAGTTTTCTCGCACAAAATTTGCAAATTAGAACAACAGATGCAACAAAAATGGATCTAAAGAAAAAAGGAACAAAAGTTCTGTGGAACCAAGGCAGAGAATACCGGAAATCGCAGCAATTTTATGCCATACTTGAGGATCCATTTCAACTACGCTTCCCTGGCCTCCTCCTCAAAGTTCAACAGCTACAGAGACGAAGTGGTGCCGGAGGCGGAGTGCCTTCAGCTCACGGTTGATTCAAGGATATAACGGACATTCACAAACTCACACAAACCAAAAATAAAAATAAAAATCAGCATAAAGCAAAAAGATAAAATTTAATATCAGAATATTTTTAAAACATAAGAAACCGATTTTTTTTTAAATCATCGATCTATTAAAGAAATTAAAATTCTATCATATAATATGTGAGCTTTTATTATTATTATTATTATTATTATTATTATTATTTCGACCAATAGAGTTCTAAATTTTTACTTCAAATACATGGCAAGAAACATAAACCCTTCTAGTAACTAAAGAAGCCACTGCAAAAGAAGACCATGAAATTAGTGGAGATATATAATCAAATATAAATAAATACGCCAGCTATCTTGAGAAGAAGCGATAACTTGCTCAAGAAATTAATAGACTACGAAAGTGGAGGAGGGCGATAACATAAAACGCCAATACTTGCGTGTGTGTGTGTGTGTGTGTGTGATTTTTTGTTAATTAGTACATTACATTAATGAACAGAATATCCATGTTCTCATAAGCTTTCTCCGGTTATCATAGCCAACCCCAAGATTTGCGCGTGTTATCCTTGCACGGGCACCATGATTTAATTATGATTGTGATTTAAACAAGGGATTAAACAACTAATTATTAAATACAGTGATCCTTGAAACATGCATGCATCAAGCTAAATAAACAAACACACTAGTGCTAAAAAGTAAAATTAGGCTTCTCCTTGTCTAGTTTTTTGTAGTTTCAGCTGCTCATTGATCAATCTAAGAGCTTTGAGAAGCAACAACATTAACAGGGAATTCATGAATATAGTCAGCCCAAGCATTTTTCAAATAAGTTGCATCAACAGTGTCCAATGCAACCCAGATTCTGTCGCTTTTTTTTTATTCTTCCTTTGCTAGCTTCACAATAAGCCAAATCGTACCACACAGAACTCGAAGATGTGTTTCTAAACCGATACAGTGTCATCCTCGAAGGTTCCATGTCCCAATCTTGAAGCTCAGGATTCTCCTGCATTGTGTCCAACACTGCCCTTCCTCCAGCATGGATACAAAAGTGAACAAAAGCCAACTTGGAAGTTTGGAACATAAGCTTTTATCGTCTTCAATCTCAGAACCTTCCTTTCCCACAAAAGGACCAGTGGAGCCAGAGATGTGATGTGAGACTTGAGGACTTGACCTGCAACGTTCATGAGGTCTTTTGAGATTGCAAAACCAATGTGTTGCTGATCATCTTCTTGTTGATGGACACACAATTGTAGCTTCTGTCATCGAAAGCTGGAAGGGTACGAAGTGTGTGGATGATTTGGTACTTTGAACGATGAGGATCTGAAGGATGGTTGGAGAGAAGAGAAGCAGAGCCATCCATGCGAAGGAGATCACAATTGACGAGGGGCATAGAGGGGCTGTTGCCAAGGTATAAGGTTGAGACTCCATGCACTTTCAGTATTCAGCACCATGGCACACGAGTTTGGATGTAACTGATGTTATCCCATGACAATAACGAGAAGCGTATAATTTAGCGTACGCGCGTGTGAGGGGGAGAGAGACTTTTCTCGTTAAACTATCATTAGAGCATGTATAAGCAGCACATGAGTTACTCCCGTATTAATAAAAATTTATTATTCAATTAAATTCATATAAAATATAATAATTTTTTAATTTTATTTTTAATAATATCATAATTAATATTGTGATAAGAAAAACATGCAATTAATAATCTATTTTATTTTTCAAGATAAAAATAAAATTGTTTAATTACTAAAAAATATTATTGCCACCTCTATATTTAAAGACAAAATAAACTTATAAAAAATACCTTATATAGAAGGACGGAGAGAGTATTATTAAAAATTTAGGGTAAATATAATTTTGGATTTATATACTTTGCTATCGTTTTGTTATAGGTTCTTGCACTTTTTTATATTCTAGATCCTTATATTTTTATTTTTTGGTGTTTTAGGTCATTCTATGAGCGGAAAAAAGTATAAGGACTCAAAATTATATTTTTTTAAAAAATTTATTAACAAAAATATAAACAATTTCACATTACTTATGTGACTGGTGTGTATTTTTTCTATTTTAAATTATAAGATATTTTTAAATAAAATCAAACATACCAATAAAACTTATTAAACATACTTTATAATTTTTTAAATAAAAATATAAAATTTTTAAAAATTCCTTTCATTTAATGTTGTAAGTATTATTATAAAAATATTATTAATGAAATTTTATTTTTAACCAAGTTTGTTATATTTTGTGATATTAAATTTTTTATAAAAATATTTTATAATTTGAGATGGATAGAGCATTATACAAATGATACTAATGAAATATACTCATAGTCTAATACTACATTATTCATACCAACTCACCTAAACTAATTAATCGAAGATACATCACACGGCCCACAAGCAATTAAGTGGAATATCGGCAACACTTCCATTCTTTTTTGAGCATTGCATTTAAAATATTGAGATCATACTAATGCAATACAACAGCATATATATGACAGAATTTAATTTGATTACAAAATGTATTAAATTAAAAAATAGAATTTAGTGAGAAAAAATAATAAATTAAAGAATAATTTAAAATACCATAAACTCAATTCTACCCTTTAACTTTAAATATTCCTTTTATCTTTATCCTAACATTAAAAATACTAAATGTTCATTAATTATTAATGTTCATTAATCATCAGTGAGTCCCATTATTTTTAAATATTTTTTATTAGGTTAAGGGTCATTTTTATTTCTCAACTTCTATTCAAATGCTCTTTTTTGCCCCTCAACTTCAAATATTTTATAAAAAAATTAAAAAACATAATGTAGAATTTATTAATGATGAGAAAACGACAAAGTAATGACAGAATAAACTTTAAAATTGATGGATAGAATTGACCTATAATTAAGTTTATGACATTTATGACTTTTTGTGTATTGTTCATAGATAAAAATGACTCTTAATCTTTAAAAATTTCATAATCAATTTTTTAAACTAAATAAGTACACTTTTTTTCTTTAATTTATATGTCTACCATTAATATTCTATTATCCATGTTACCGAATTTTAACAATAGTATTTTATTTTTAAATAATAAGAACCAAATAAATGAATAAATAAATAATATAAATTTAAGTAACTAAATTAATAAAAATTAAATTTAAATTATCAAGCTAATAAATAACTAAGATAATCTTGATTGACTAAAAGTTATACTTCCTCTGTTTAAAGATATAAGGCCTTTTTAATTAAAACTCATCTCTAATAAAATAATTAATTATTTTTAAATTAATTCTATCATTGTATATTTATCCGTATTAAATATTCTATAATAAATATAAAGTCATTCACCAATAAAAATATTTAAAAAATAAAAATGATTATATATTAAAAAATTAAAAATATTTTATATTTTAAAATGTTTAATTTTTTAAATAATATTTTATATTTTTATACGAAGGGAATATTAACTATCCACTATATCTTAGACCTTTCACTACCCGTTTCAGATACTGTTGCTTCTTCTCTCATGTACGCAAAATTATTTGAAATGACATCTCCTGTTTGAGACTTTTGTCACATGATGTGATATACTGAATTAAAAACTTTCTGTCTATTTTTTTTTTAAATTGCTTTTGAGTTTTGATTTGACTAGTAAGGGTCTTCAAAAACCCTTTCGATAAAGCGTGACGCATCCAAGATGTCGAGTGCACATGAACTTTGTAAGTGACACAAAACTAAATGGAAAAAACAAATCAAAAGTAATATAATTTTGAAGCGAATTTTTTTTGTGTTCTTGAATTAAAATATTAAAAATTGTATAATTTTATTTAATAATAATTAAAAAATAAATATATTTAATATTGTATGAAATTTTTACTTTAATCCATTTCTATTTTTTCTTTTCTTTTTACCAAAAGAGATCCATTTCTGATACCAGAAAAAATACCAAATGGAGAAAGAGTCTTAGGTAACATTTGATGGTTGTTGCAACTTACTATGTCCAAAGGGAATATGCATGAGATGAGACAACTAAACAAAACGCAAGAAATTAAAGATAACACAAAAAATGGAAATTGCAAAAAGAATGATAAAAATAAAGTGTGAATGAGATTGTTGCTGAAATTTTAATTTCAAATATCTTCTTAAAAAGTATTATTCCATAGCAAAATATCCCTTCAAGCTCTGTCTAGTATTATAAGGCATTTTTCCCCCAAAAATATCATGTTCAAAAATTTTGAATCTTTAAAGTATAATTAATAATATTTTTATAAAAATATCATTAATTAGGAGATGTAATCAATATGTTTTTTTATTTGATACATTCTATTAAATAAGAGTAAATATAAAAAAAGTATATAATTTTAGAAATAATTAACTATTACTCTTATTTATAAGTCATTTATAGCATGTTTTAACAGAACTAGAAAAATTTTTAAACCTCATTAATTTTATTTTAAAATTTAATAATTTTTTACCTCTATCTTTTTTAATAATTTTTCTAATAATTAATAAGGATAGAAAGGTAAAGATAGATATAAAAAATAATAAAATACCCTATCAATATGATTAAAATTATTTTTTTATAAATATAATCAAAAGAGTAATTGATGGTGTAATTACATTAAAAATTCTTGAGAATACATTAAACGAAAGGTGTAATTAATTAATTTGTCGCCATCGGTAATGTTATTAGTAAACCTAATACTTCGGTGTCGGTGGCCCGTTGCTGTTGGAAATTCAATGTGATTTAAATGCGTTCAACAATCAACTAATATTGTTTAATTGTAACACTGTTGCGATATTTTTCTCAAAAGCAAGATACTTCATCTGTCATAAATTATAAGATAATTTAAAAAAAAGATTATATATATATATATTAATAAAACATAATAATAACACTTTACTAACTATTTTAAAATAAAACCATAACGTTTAAAAATGCTACAACACAATTAATTATTACATTAGAATATCATTTCATTTCTACTTTCACTTGAAGGCAGTATTAAAAAAATATAATTAATAAAATATTATTTTTTAAAATTATTTTATATTTTGAGACACAAAATTCTTTCAACTTTATTTTATAATTTGAGATGGAAGGAGTAATAATTAGACATATTTTTTCATGTATATTACACAAATTTAAAAATGAAATGCATTATTATATGTAATTTACCGAAGTTATTTTCACAACAGTGAAGCACAGAATGCGTTGTGGTTTCTGATTTTCATCCTAATTTCATTTTGCAAATTTCAGTTTTTTCTGACTTAAGTTTCACAACTTTCAATCCAAACACACACAATAGACTCAGAAAGAAACGGGCTTTAGAACATGGACTGGGCTCAGCAATAATATTGGGCCACTTTCCATGCTTAACTCTAATTTCGATTATTTTGTATTCATACATCACTTTATTCAGACGGATCAACTTAAAATTACATGGAAGTCTAAAGTTAAGAGTCCAACCAAAGTCAATCACATCACATGCACACACTTCCATAATATGATTGAGCAAACAACGGGGTTAAACTATACTAAGTGACCCTTAGTATATGTATATATTATTCTTTACCGGAAGAATGATGTTTTCATACTCTTTAAGAACATTATTTATAGCAAAGAATGCTGAAATTTTGAAATTTCAAAAAGGAATTATAATCCTTAACGGAAATTTTTTTAGTTAATTTTTCAGTATTTATCTTCAATATTTTAAATACTCATCTTTCACATTTTTTGTATTCAGGTTTTTTTCTTAATCTTTCAGTGGTTATCTTAGATGTTTTTTATATTTATCTTCCATGTTTTCAGTTTTGAAAAATACTTATCTTTAATTTCTTTCAAAACTGAAACCTTGGAACATGAATATTGAAAATATCTAAGGTAATTGCTAAAAAAATAAAATTAAAAACTGAGTAATGAAAATGTGAAAGATGAATATTGAAAATGTAGAAGATGGGTATTGAAAAAATTCAATAAAAAAAATTCGAATCCCAACAATGGAGCATGATCTTTTTTCAAAATTTCATAATTTTAAAATCTTTAATTGTAGTTGACATCCTTAGAAGTTCCTTAAATGTTATTTTCCCTTCTTATAATATTTTAGCAGCTCAATATAAGAGCTAGTTTTGAGAGGCAATGTAAACAAGATATTCATGAATCTCATTCATAAAAAGGTGGTTGTTCAATGAATCCGCATCAGCATTGTCCAATGCAACCCACACTACACTGTTACTCTTGAATCTTGACCCAGATGCCAATTGCCAGATTCTGTCACCTTTCTTGATCCTTCCTTTGGGAACATAGCCAATAATTCATACCACAGAGAGCTCGAAGATGTATTCCCAAATCTATATAATGTCATCCTTGAAGGTTCCACGTCCAAATCTTGAGCTCAAGATTCTTCTGCATTGTATCTATCACAGCCCTCCCTCCAGCGTGAATGCAAAATTGCTCAAAAGCTACCTTGAAGTTCGGAACATGAGCTTCAATCTTGAACCCCAAAACCTTTCTTCCAACAAAAGCTTCAAGAAACTTGACTTTTTCCGAGACAGGAAGGACCAGAGGGGCGAGAGATATGATGTGAGACTTGAGGACTTGACCTGCAATGTTCATGAGGTCTTTTGAGATTGCAGTTCCAGTTTGTTGCTGCTCATCATCATCATCTTCTTGTCGAAGGACATCGTTGTGGCTTTTGTCATCGGAAACTGTGTGGGTACGAAGAGTGTGGATGATTTGGTACTTCGAACGGCGACGATCTGAAGGATGGTTGGAGAGAAGAGAAGCAGAACTACCCAAGCAAAAGAGACAGCTAGCAAGAAGCATTGAGGTGTGGTTGCCCATGAACAGGCTTGAGGTTAGATTTTCGGTGCTATGTGACTCTATTGTCATAATAATGAAGGCGGCATATGAACGTTATTATGTCACTTATTAAAACCGAGACAACAACAATATTAAATTTAACAAAAAAATTCATCATTTGATTCTCATATTGTTGACTCGATTTGTAATTGAGTTCTGAAACTTTAATTTGACATAATCTAATTCTTATAATTTGACTTAGTTATAAATTTAATCATTGAGTTTTAACTTAATTCATGTAGTTTTAATCATTTAAAATATTAGTCCATAAATTTTAATGATAACTTTATTCATAATTTTATTTTTTAAAATATAGAGACTAAAATATTAAATAGAAAAAACTATAGGAATATAGTTGTAAGAATCAAAGTTTAAGAACTAAATTTTAACTGAGTTAAAATTATAAAAATTGAGCTTTAGTGAGTCAAAATTTAAGAATTAAATTTTATATAAAGTAAAAATTATAGGTATATCAAATAGTTAATTTTTCCTCGACTTTATAAAAAGGAGAATACTTGGAAGAGGCGTTTGGCAAAATCAATAGCAAGAACCCCGGCATTACACCCCATGCCACTAAGATTGTATCACACTTTGTCATCTCTGAGCTTTTATTTTTTTTTCCTCATTAATAAGGCTAGCCAAGGTTAAGAGGCTAAATGTCTCAAATTAGTTTCGATGGGACAAACTCCTACCATGATCATAAGAAAATAAATTTGCACATTCTACAAGTTCCTCATACATGAAAATCAATTCCCTACAAGAATTATGTGCCATTTTGGCCAAGTGATCAGCACAAGATAACGTCTCACGTGGAGTATAAGATAGCTTATAATCTTTGTGACAGAACAGCAACTCTTGAACTTCAAAAATATCATGAAAAAGGATGATCATTACTCACTCCTCTAAATATGAGGTTGATAACAGTTAGAGAATCTAAATGAATTGTTGCCTGATCAATGTTTAAATTCAGACATAACCCCACCCCATACTTAATGACTTTCAATTTAGCAACAACCACTGGAAATCTTCCCAAGTTGTAAGTAAAACCACCTAACCATTTACCTTCCAAATTACGCTCTAATCCTCGACAAGCAGCATTGTTCCAGTGGTTAACAGAGGTGTCAACATCTACTCGAACCATTCCCTATGATAGTGCAATCCACTAATGTCCTTGGTTCTCAATCACTAAGGAAAAGTGGCAAGTAGAATGTACTAGATGCCGTTCTTCCATCAGATATCTTCTACAAGCTTGGATATTGTCATTTAGATTGTGGAAGCTCCCGTCAAAGATATCTGAGCATCTGTGTACCTAGAGTAACCAACATAGGCCGCCAAAAATTTAATCCAGGGCCAGCTTTGAAAAAAACCACCTCCTAACTGTTGTGTAGTGTTCCACTCAATCCATTTCTGCAAACTACAAGAAAAGAAAAGGTTATAATAAACAGGATTAATAATTTCCTTTCAAGTATTTTTGGCTCTCGAGTAGTCTCTCAAGATATGAATAATGTTTTCCTCACTTTCACACTCAAAAGGGAAATTTGCATCAGTAGTATGTAGAATCTGCCAAAAGAAGTATTTCGCTTTTTTTCGATACAGGCCACCTCCATAAACTTTTCCACATAGGATTAGTAGTAGTGGTCTCATTTCCAACAAGGCAGTTATAGGCGGCATGAATAGAGAATCTACCATCATATCTAGTTTGCCACCAGAAAAAATCATTTTATTGCAAGTTTTGGAGACGCATACTAGAGATTTTGTTGACAATTTCAAATCAGAAATATCTGATAGATTATTCCTATTCCAAGTACCAAAGGAGGAAAAGAAATCGCAAACTTTGTTTTGGGGATTGATAGGAATTTCAAGATTGGAAACATAATTTATCAGAGGATGTTCTAAGGGAGCCCACAAATCCCACTAAAAGCTAGTACCAGCACCACTATTAATCCTTTTTCTAACTCCTTGAGTGAAGTTATCCCAAACCTTAACAATGCTATTCCAAACATGAGAAGCAGATCTCTTCTTGACAACCACCGAAATCTCCCCCATTCCACATTTATATTTAGCCTTAAGACATGTAACCTAAAGACTCTCAGGTTTGGTAAGTAGACCCCAGCAAAGTTTCATTATAAAAGTAATATTTTGTATTTGAAGATCTTTTATGCCAAGACCACCTGAGGTCTTATGAAGTTTAACTTTGTTCCAAGATATCAAATGCAATTTCTTATGATCTTCTCTATTTGTCCAAAGAAATCTTCTGCTAGATTTTCCAATTTTAGATAAAATACCTTTAGGAAGGAGCAAGGTTTGCGTTAGGTATGAGGGAAGGTAAGAAATAATAGACTTGATCAGCAACATTCTTCCCGTTATGCTAAGAAAAGAACTCTTCCAAGAGGACAACCTTTGCTGCACTTTTCGAATAAGAGGATTAAAGAGTCCTTTAGTAATCCTTTGATGTAGCAATGGGGCACCAAGATACTTCCCAAGGTTGGGAGTAAAACAAACTCCCAAATATTGGCTTAATTGGCTAACTCTTTGATGACAAACATTAATCGAGCAGAAAAGCTTAGTCTTATTAAGATTCATATGGTGACTAGAAGCTTTACAGAACAATTCCATTACCTTTCTTATGAGCTCTACTTGCTTTAAGGAAGCCTCTGCAAACAAGATTAGATCATCAGTAAAGAAGAGATGAGAGATATAAGGATCTCTCATAGACAATTTCAGTGGTTTCCATTTTTTGGTCTTGCAGAGTTGCTTTATCATCATTCTAAGCCTTTCCATGCATAGACCAAAAAAGTAGGGGCTAAGAGGATCACCTTGTTTGATTCCTCTTGAAGGAACAAACTCATTTGTGCGTTCATCATTCTAGATAACCTTCATAGAGGCAGTGCCAATACAAGTCATAATGACATTAGTAAACTGCTCTTGAAAACCAATTTCTCTGAGTGTGTGTGCTATGAAATTCCAATCGAGTCTATCATATGCTTTCTCAAGATCAACTTTGATGGCCATATATCCCTTATGTCTACACTTGGATCTCATGCTATGAATAGCTTCCCGAGCAATGATAATATTATCACTACTTTGACGTTCGACAATGAAACTGCTTTAATTAGGCTTAATGAGATAATCGAGATGCCTCTTCAATCTATTTGCAATGATTTTTGTGATACTCTTTGAACTCACATTGCAAAGAGATATAGGTCGGAGTTATTTTAGGCAAGAAGGCTTTTCAATCTTGGGAATCAAGCAATACTAGTTTGATTAATATCCACAATCTTGGTAGGATTTGCAAAGAGATCTTTAATGAACATACAAAACTTATTCCCAATGATGTTCTGGTGACTCTGGTAAAAGTGTGCTATTAATCCATCTGGTCCTGAGGCTTTAAAAGCACCCATAGAAAAGATAACATCCTTGATTTCCTCGTTAACAGGTGTTCTCTAAATGTCCAAAAGGTTCTGGTCAGAAACCTGAGGAAAGGAACAAAGAATAGAATCAGCATCTGTAGTAGGCTCGAATTTCATGTACAAATGCTTGAAGAAGGTAGCAGCCATGTGCTTAAGTTGTTCCTTATCAGATATCCATTCACCATGTTCTGATTTGAGGGATTCAATTATCTTCTTCCTTCTTCTAATAACAGTTGAAGTATGAAAGAATTTTGTATTCTTATCCCCAAATTTTAACCACTTGCACCTAGATTTTTGAAACTATATTAGCTCTTCCTAGGCTAAAATTTGTTGTACTCTTTCCACAATTTATTTTCTAGCTTCCTTAGCCCATTTTTGTCATTCCTTCCTCGAGCTTTATCTATGCCTTCCAATCATTTCGGTAGCTCCCTTTTTTTTTTTTTTTCTAGGAATGCTTCCTAGAGTGCAATTATTCCAATTTGTAGCTTCAGTAGCAAATGATTTAGTTCCTTCAATCCAAGTTCTATCCTTCTAGTTGTTTTCCACAAGATTTTTAAACTTTCCTTTTAGAGCCCAGGCAGCATTATAAATAAAATTCTTCTAACATCTCTGCCTAATATAATTGCACTGATTTGTGACCAGGAGCATTCTGTGATCAAACTTGAATTTGAGAAGATTTAGAGCTTTGTAGTGCTGGAATCTAACAGCCCAGCCAGAATTACAAAAACCCAGTCCAGCTTCTCTTTAACTCCCTCTCTTTCCTAGGTATAATGATTCCCGACCATAGTGACATCAATGAGGCCAGTATTAGAAAGACATTGGTTGAAGCTATGCATACTAGTGGCCACCACCCCCACATTTATCTTCTAGTGATTTAAAAGTATTGAAATCACCCAAAACCATCCATGGCTCATTTGTTTCGGGGGGCAATGATCTTAAGTTGGTCCCAGAGACTCCTTCTACGACTTTCTTGAGGCTCACCATAAATGAAAGAGGCTACCATAGACTCCTGTGTGTTAATATCCGTAATCCGACAATGGAGTAACTGAAGGCTAGACCAAATATAATTAACACAGAAATTATTTTCATTCCACAAGACCTAAATTCCCCCAGCAAATCCCATTGCTTCAATTCTGATCCAATTAGAATAACCCAATTTACGAGCAACCATCTCGGCCTTAATACCACTAATTCTCGTCTCCAGTAGCCAAAAAACATCGATCTTATATTTTTTAACAATATCTCTAATTAAAATTGGAAACACCTTTCCATCGGCGCCTCGACAATTCCAAGAAGAAATAATCATAACATAAACCCAAAAGAGGAAAGATACAAGGCGCAAGATTAAACGCGTGTATTAGCCTTGGGTCTCACCCCCGTACCTCCTTGTTGCTGTCTGCTATTTTCCTCTATATTCGAAACTCTTGAACATGTCTGTTGGGATCCTCTATATGGCACTGGATCCGTTGGTTCAGGTGGCTCGCATAGCATATCTTTTGCTTCTGATGTCACTACCAGTGTTCGTGATGGTATCTCATATGTAGAAACTTGCGAGCTTTTAGATGGAAAAGTACTAAGCGAATTCTTCTCCATTGAATTTTTGAAATCTAGTTTGGACTT